ATAGTCGAATTGACTACAATTATTTGTTAAACTACAAATCTTCTAATTCGAATCTATTTTGAACATAGAACCGTAGAATGCACTTCACTAAATGAACAAGAAATCATTTGGGATAAAATGATTTTGCCGGGATCCCGTCACTTTTTGCGGGATAGGCGGGACCCCGCGGCTTCCAGCACAGAAAAGTTAATCCCGCGGGATCCCGGCGAGATTCATAAAAAATGAGCAACATGGGGGTGTATGAGTCATCTTTCGACGAACAGCCACAACCGCAACCACACCACATCCACCCACACCCAACTCTCGACATTTAAAAACAATAGAATAGTTGGAAGTTCTCTTCTAGAAACTTCCATAAACTATTGATTTGATTTGATATGAGATTAACATCTATATGAAGAGTATATTAGAATTCCGAAATTACCTGATGGTGGCCCTTAAGCTGGGTTGAAATGATCATCGTAACTAGCTTGGAATTTATTTTCTAAACACACGCACACGCCCACCCATAGAAAAAATATTTAAATTTGTTTCAACTCGAAATCGTTGTGAATGTTAATACGATGCACGAATCCAAACTCTATTTATTGACTTCATCCGAATTCGCCTATTTTCAACTATTCTTGAAAGAAAATAGACTCCACGAATAATTTGAATTCGTTTCTCATCGAGAGATCCACACCTGGACAGAGTCAAGGAGACGAGCATATCTTGCGATCTTCCACGTCGATGGTACACAATTAGTCAACCATTCGACGAATTCATCGTCTAATAATGATGGTAAGACACAAGATTCATGCCATCGATCATCTGAACATTCGAACTTCAATGCTCGAAGATTTGTCATCCGATTAATAAGATCAAGAATAGACATTCGATGTTTAACTCGAATTCGAAGCACTTCACATTGATTGCCAATTGGTGAAGTACGGCATCTAGCACACTGTTTATCATTGAACCACCATTCATTGTACGAACATGCATCATATCCTTGTAAATCAAGTTGACACACTGTTGAACTCCTAATGTCGACGATAAGCATTTGGAAACAAGACAATGAAGTAATTTTTAATGAGTAAAGGCGAGGTGCTCTATCAAGAAGAACTTGTAATTGTGATCGATCTTGATCGTTTTCAACGTCGACAGTATCAAACGTTACATTCAATGAAATCAAATGATCGAATGTCGGAATCATAGACCACAAACACCTCTTAGATGGAAGAACAATAGAAAGATCTCGAATATATGGGAAATGAATTTGCGATGAAGTTGATACTAGAAATTCAGGGAGCTCGTGACTAAACTAATGAACATGATTATAAACACAATGGTCTCTCTCATGAGGACAAGTGGATTTCGTCAAGATGACGATGATTGAATAAAAATCAGAAAAAGTGTAAGGTAATGTGTAACGACAAATAATATGAGAATCATCTTGCAGACACCAATGACAGTGAACAAACCATTGATGTTCAGCCAGCCAGAATGAAGTTCGAAATGAGTCGATCAATTGATCGAGTTTTTTTTCTATGTCATCACTCTTAACAAACGAAGTCATCATTCGCAATTGAAAAACTTTGAGTTTTGGTAAATAATCGGCAATAATTTGTTGCATTGTTGACCATTCATAGGTCTACGTAAAACCGAGACTTTTAACCGGCACAATTGGGCATATTTGATAAAAGGTTCAACAATGGATATAGGACAACTTCAATAGTGATTTTCAATGTGATCATAGATGAAACAGGAGATGAAGGCTGTTGATTTACAGAATCGGTGATCGAATTTAAACGGAGATGCTGTAGATGATGTGTATACTGAAACAGATAACACAATTCACTTGAATCCAAGTAGACCGGTTCAAGAGATAGACATATTTAAGCGTTAATGAGATAATTTTTAATACCAGAAATTATAATCTATATCATGGAACAGCAGCATCAATATAGCAATGGGTGAGTTTTGATAGACCCCAAATGCTGTTGATGATCTTGTCAAATTTTGTCTTACTATGTGGACAATGACATTCAATAAAACTGAGATGAGTGAAATAAGGAAGATGATATAATTCATCTAGTATCTGTATTGTTGTCTCATACAAATACAAGTGACATAATGAAAGAGAGCGCAATAGGGTGAGTTGTCGTAGATTAAAATCGTGTGACAGAAAAACTGAAATTTGTTGCGGAGCCTCATCATCATCTGAAATATAGAGGGAAATGATTCGATCGATTATTGATGGAATATCTTGACAAACAATATCAAAATTACGCTTCAATTTAGATCGACAGTCAAGGTGGTCATAGATTCGAAAATGAGTAAAGAGATGTGTATTGAAACGAGTATTGAGGCAGAGAAAGGCACGAAGAACATGACTGATGGAGAGGAATTCGAATAAATCGAGTAACAATTCGTTGAATAATGATTCCAGATTCATGTATCTTTTTCTTTTTTGTGTAATACTCACTTGAATCAGACAAAAACCTTCATATTCTCAATGTTGAATAGAAAGAAAAAGAAAAGATGAATGTTATTATTGCCAAAAGCATTCTTTTCTTACTTTATATCACGCTTTTTGTGTAAGATATCCATAGTGAATGTTGTCTTTCTCTCTGATTTCGCAAGACGACAGTCTATAGGGTTTTTTTCGTCTTGTGTAACATAGAAATATAAGGTGTAGCACTTAAAAATAGATCAGCTACAGAAAATATTGGCAAACGTCGAAAAGTATGGTATTGGCCTATAAACTTCAGAAAAACATTTCAGACAACATTTTGAAAAAGTAATTGATTTTGCTAAGTAACTATAGTTTCAAGTGTTTTGTTTTATTCACACATCATCATAGCTCTTGTACATCTGACAATGAAAGGCCGTGTACTGTAAGTTATGTCGCTAAGCCGTGCACTGAAAAAAGAATAATACGAAAGAAATAAAATAAAGTGTTTAGTCATGAAGTTGCGAACTGCATCGATCTATCTTTATTTAATTATTATCTATATTTTCATAATGTTACCATTTGTAGATATCATTAATTCTAATATATTAATACTAGCAGAAACAATGCCCGTTTATATTTTGTAAACATTCTGACGCCCATCTATGTCCATCGAAGCGTATCTGCGAATCAAATATCATACAATTATTCAAATAATTCGGTTAAGTGATGTACGGATTGATGTTGATGTCTATGTGAAAGAAAATAACAAATAATAGACGTAATGGATACTGATGTGATGTAAGAAGTATATAATGTCGTAAATGCTCTGATATTATAAACTGATTGGTTAATAGTACTGTTCTTTCTATCTGATTTGCTCAAGATGATCTTAAGCTAAGTGAAAATAACAGACAAATGTGGTAGAAAACGAGCTTAATTGGAAAATTGGAAAATCTTGTATACACATAAAAGAGCTTTGTAGTATTTTTAAAGACACAAAGTTCAGACAATTTATCAAAATGAATATATATATATATATTTATAATATAATGATTAAAATATTTTGATCGATTTCTTTTCTCTGATGATTTAGCATAAAGAAATTTTGACAAAAGAAAGTATACTCAATACTACACTAATACTATACGTTTATTCACTTATCAATAGTGTTTTTTGTGATTGATTGTTCAAAAGACAAAGACATCGTTAAAATAGGATGTGGGTGAGACTCTTCTTTTTTTTACACTCACACTTCACTCACCATTGATTAGCTTCATAAGAGTAGACTTTTTTCATATTTACATTAATTCTTTTCTTGTTTTGTAAAAAGTATAAGTTTCATTTATGATAATTTCTATCGTAGATATGGTGAGTTCTCCGTCATCATGATTACTTTCGTAGATATACATATTGTGTATACAGAACGGAACATGTCTATACAGGCAAAGATATCAATACTAAAGCCCAGTGTGTACAATGCTTTTCTTCGGTGAAATGAACGTTTTATTTATTCCGAGTTAGTGAATTCGTAAAAATAAAAATATAGGAAACTATGTTTAATAGGCTAACAGAGATTGACATTATGGCGAGGCAAAATAGTTTTTTCTGGCGACATTTTTTTCATAAAAACTCATTTAGAATCGTTTACAAATTTCAAACATGAATCTTTGAGAAGTTGTATCATTAACATCACTCCATTAGCTAGTAATGATTTTATGTTTTCAATCAATTTCATTAGAACTGATGTATCATATAGGAGATCGTTCACCTTCGAAGAGACTTAATTCCCCTTGTCAAATTATAAGCAGCTCAGGCAAATAATATATAAATGAACCTCGAACCGTTGCTTGATTGTGATCAAAAAATTCGAATTAATTAAATGATAATACTTAGTCTCAAAATAAAACTTCGCATTTTCATTGATGAATATCTCATTTTTATATGAATATGCTATAAATGGCATGGTTTCATGCTGAAAAGTTAACATCTTGGATTAAAAAAGAATTACTACTGATGCTATTTTTACTTGATTATAATCTGATTTTTGTGGTCGTGAAATTTGAACTCTTTTAAAAAATTATATTAATTCAATAAATAATCCACAATATAGTTGAGATTTGAATATGCAAGCATCAAGATCTTTAGCTTTGTTTGTTGAAAAAAATAAAGATTTACCTGTGTTTATGATCGAAAAACTCTTATCAAAAGTATGAAAAATAGTGACAATAAATTTAATAATTTTTTTAGTTAGAAAGGCAGTTGATATTACTTTTGACAGGATGTTCACGCAATAATCATTATTGGATATCCTTTGAAAATCAGTTGATTATGTTATGTTTTGGCTGTCTTGAAGCCGTCTTCCCCTTGCGATGAAACATGATATTTTGGGGCCTACTCCCCCTGTAAAAAATCCATACAACCAGACTTTGTTTCAAATCATTTATTTCCATTAGTTCTGGTCATTTCGATAGTTTACTTTAATTTATTTCAAAAATCAAATTTTTCAACATAAACAAGAAAATCAAGTGCTCGAAATACTTTCTTTGTAACACTACCAACATGAGGATGAAACACTCGAGTTACTCCTATTTTTGTTAAACATGACAGTGTGTGAACGTTGATTCTCTTAAATCAGACACACCACATCCATACCACTGTCTCATAGTTATTTTTCTAAATTGACATGTAATACGCGATGAAGCTCTATGTAGCATTTTTAGGCTTAATTTTATAAAAGTAATTTCAAAAAAAGAACATTTTGTTGAAATCGAAAAGCAAATCGTCTGAGATTTCATGATTGTTTGTTTAAAGGTGTGGTATTTTTTGTAGGTTTTTATCCATACTCAGTATTTTTTTATTTTTCTTCATGAAGACTTCAAAAAATGATATCAATTAAAAACAGTTTTGTGATCAAACTTATAAATTGATTTCTATCGGTGTATTGATCTGTGAAAAAAGTAAAATCTGCTATAATTTTACATAACCGGCAACTTATCTGTATTAGTCACATGTGTTGATTATCAGACATTATTAATTGGTTCTTGGAACAGTACTAAATAGTTATATCTGTAAGTGTATGCCAAAACAAGTTCTTCGACCAGTCTTCATTTTAACCATCATGAACATTAACAGGGTGTGGGTGGGAGTGAGTGTGAGTTAAAAAAGAATTGCACCCGCACCTACACCCACCAACACTCAAACCCCACAGACCTATTTCCCACACACTCCACACCACACTCATACCAACACCCACACCCTTCAGAAAAGGCTTTATTTTATTACTAAACGACTCGTAATGAAATTCTACGTCAGAGAAGTCATGAATGGAGAAAAGTGAAGATAGTCAAACAAATGGTCTTGCGCATTCCTGTCTGTTTGCACACTAGAAAAAGATGTTCGTTTCTACGGCATCCTCGCTTGAATATTGCACAACAAAGGTGAAACTAAAGATGATGTCATTGTTTATCTATCTTTTTTAAACATGTGACAAAACAACTGATAATAGTGCACCCATATAAATAAAGTAAGAAGCGAAATAGAGACCCAGTATATCTTCTTTCGTTTCAATCTGTGGTAAAGCAAGAATCGCCATGTCTTCTGTAACTTCTCTCGCCGCTTTATCAATTCTCATGATTCTTATTTGTGCTCTATCGAGCGTTTCATCTGATTGCACGAGCTGTTGTAACTATAACATTGGCTGTAGTACAGCTTATAACGGCAGGCCAGGTTCGTTTTAAGTATTTTTCATCAAGACTTTATTTCTTTTTATTGGGAGATGATAAAGTAAAGTCATCTACCAAGTCGAGTCCAATTTTAAAATGACTTGAGTCGCAGGAAGAAAGGTTACTTACGACTGTACCTCCTCCGAAATTTTTGTTTTTGACTATTCGACTCGACCTATGACTCGAAAAAATCAACGACTCGCACACCCGTGTCTCGATCAAGGCATATAATGGGAGTCTATGGTTCTTTTCATTTTAAACTGAATTTAAATAAAAATCATATCAAGTCTTTGCAAACAGCGAAGATTTAAGATACTTAGGAGAATTAGTGCATTTTTCGTTAGATAACGGTGAGAAGGATATTTTTCCATACACAACAGAACCATGTCACATAGAGCAAATATATACCTTATGAACTCTCAGTTTTTATTTATGGGGAAATGAGGTCTAGCAGGATTGGGTGTCTTTAGAATTATTCTTTTCTAAAATCCATTACTCTGTAGCATATAAACCCTCTATTTTATTGATGAAGGAGTCTTGGAATGTCTAGAATTATTCATTACCAAATTGTAAAGTCATGAATACTTTTAAAGACCTCCAAGATCCCCATTTCAGTTTGAAATCGACTAATTTTTTTAAAATATAGACTGGAATCAAATAGACCCGATTGTATGTTTAATGAGATGGGATAAGGTATTCCTCTCGTAAAACTTTTGCTTTAGAAAAAATCTACGCGTTGAGGTATTTTTCTCTTACAAAAAGCTTACAAACTTGCTATATAATATTAAAATACTGATTTTTTTAATAGGTTTCTTAGTAAAATAAACAACCCGTAAACTGAAGCAGATAGTATACGGAGTGAAAAAGTTTTGAAACTAATAAGATGAAATAAAACGACTTCTTTGACTTCATCCAATGGGATGACTTTTCTATTGTGCCCATCTCATCCTTTTCCATTAGGAGCTCTTGTCTCTGTTCGAGCTGTTCTACATTTATCTCTCTTTTTAGCTAAATGTTGTGGCACAGGCATTTTAAGATTTTGTTGTCCATGTAAGTGTTGTTTTCCATGTATGCTTATCTTATTGTTGTGGGCCTTTTTGCTTATTTTTTTCTAGCTAAATCAACATGTAGTTCCTACCCTATCTGCGATAATTATTATTATTGGGGAAGTCTGACACTTGCTGGTCTAATCGGTGTTATTGCGGCTAGTATTATTGGATGTATCTTATTAATTGCATTATGTAGCTGCTTGTGTAAAAGACGACAACGAACAACAGAAAGACATATAACATTTTTACCACAATCATTTCATAATCCTGTTGTACATCAAGCACCACCACCTTATACATATTCTACTAAAGCATAAATTAAAAAGCTGTTTCAAACTTTTTCTTTTACCGATGAACTATTTCCTACGAACTATGCTTTTTTTCTAATCATACAATGTAAGAGACTGTTAATGATACTTATTCTATTTTGATATCGAGAGTAGACCAAAAGTAAGAAAACACATAATTCTTTTAAAATTTATCATTATGAACTGATAGTTATAACTCATATTTGAAACATATACTACTCTCTAATAAAATCTATTTCCTCAAAAACCCTTCGAGGGTTTCCGAAGTTTCGGAAATCCAGAAAAATCAGATATAGTGATTTCTCGAATACTGATCTTGGAAACGGATAAAATGCTTCCGAGCTTACAAAAATCGGAAGGCAGTATGAGACATGAACACAGTCGAGCGACAAGATGGATTTCGGCATCTTGCCGTGTGCCAACAGAACGAACAAGACAACAGATATTGTTAGTTCTTTATTATTAAAACGCAATTTTACCATTTCGTTCATATCGATCTGAACATAAAACAAGACAAAAGAGATCAGTAGTCTTCAATAACTGAATTGTAAATTACCATTTCGATCATATTAATGTGAACATAAAAAAGAAGTATTGGTTTTCAGCAATCAAAGTGTAACTTACATTTAGGATCACATTGGTTTGAACCTAAAAGAAAACAAGAGAAATTATTAGCTTGCTATTATTAAAATGTAACTTATGATTTGTATCAAATCGATTCACACGTAAGATGATACAAAAAGATATGATTTTTTTAATCTTTTATGTATAACTTAAGATTTCGATTGCATCGAGTGTGGGTGTTACTCTCAGCTTCACCCACATCCATAACTAAGCAAGTTAAAATGAATATGTGACGCCAGAAGTTTGTGGTGTTCTCGCTTTGGACAACTTTTAAAAACTAAAATGGAAATATAAAATCGTTGTTTTATTGAAATTTAGCAGAAAAAGGCAAGAAAAATGTTTGATTTTTAGGCGAATAATAGTAATTTTTCTCCGAATCGTCAACATCATATTTTTCCTCATATATTCAAAATTCAGACTAACTCAAGAATGTAAAAATTTCGTTAGATTATTTCGCAAGTATGGAATGATTTCAGGTTTTAAAACAAAGAAGGATACGAAAAAGTAATGCCCCTTAATTAAATCAGTTATGCTAAATATATAAGCAGCTTTCAGTTCACTAAAAATTTCTCAAACTGAGCGAAAAAGAAGATAAAAAAAAAAAGAAAATTCGAGCACCCAAAATGTTCCTTTGAGAAGTTTTTGGACCGATCACGATCACTCTGCAAAACATTCTGAAAATTTCCCAAACTTCGGAAACCCTTCAGAGTATGAAACAAATATTCAGAAACAAATTTCAATTGTCCATTATACTTTTTTGAGATTCAGGATTTTCGGAAACCATCCGATCATCGATAAGGTATTTCCGGAAATCCATTCAGATATCAACTCAGTTTTTCTGGCAATATTAGTTTCCTATAATACATTAAGGGTTTCTGAAAATAGTAATTGGCTTTCGATAGAGAGAGAAAATATTCTAAAATACCTTCCGAGTGTTGCAATCGGTATTTTCTGAAACCAATAAGGTATCTTCAAAAACGCTTCAAGCTTTCGAAACCTTCTCGTAAACCTCTAAAGATTTGCGAAGGGTTTTCCAAGCAGATTGGGGTTCTTAGGAGGGTTTGGGTCCAGGACTGTACTCTTCGCCCACATTCACACCCTCTCCTACATCTCCTACCCTTGGACTCAATCGAGTTTTCAGAGACGTTCTTCGAATATACGTATATATAATCAAGAAAAGACACAGAAACCAGTCATTCAATATGAGTCACTCGATATTATACTTTTGCGTTAATGAAAGTCAGTTTGTTTTAGTGTGTATACTTTAAGTTTAATAAACGAATATTTCTCCCGTGATCCGACATGAGCAAACACTTCAATAGTATGATATCAGACATGTTAATTTTTTATTTACAGGGTGTTCCAAAAGTCCCAAGGAAATTTTTCGCAAATATGTCTTACACAGTTCAAGTGACTTAAATATTTTTTTAATAATATCATAGTATATTGTTTGAAGATTTGTTCTGCGTATTTTCAAATAAACACCTGTGCTTATAAACATTAGAATAAAAGTGTTTTTGCTAATGACCAAATTTGAGTCAGCTATGACTGTGAAAGGCAAGAAAACCGAGCGGAATTTGGTATACAAACGTGAGACAGATTGTATTAGAGATGCTTTTCAACACTTACAAAATGAGGATAGTAATGATTGGACAACAATCTGAAGAATCTTCAAAAATTGCAGAAGAGAATATCGACGGAATTCATGATTTCTGTGAAAATGTGCCACTGTTGACTATTCGGCTTGTTGGAACACCTGTCTTCATTCCACGAATAAAATCAAGCCGAATTATGGCTAAATATCCCCGAATAAAACCAAACAAGGTACAGTTTGTCTAACAACTTTGCAAAGAGGATCCACAAAATCGAATTGAAATTTTATCACTTTGATATCAATGTTAAAAAATATTCAATCATATTCTAAAAAAATTGGTTAAATCGCTTAAATTGTAGAAGAGATATTTACGTAAATTCCCCTGGAGACTTTTGGAACACTCTATATTAATAGACAAGTTTAGACAGTCAGAATATATGATTATTTTTTCTTCAAATGAATATATATTCAAAATGTCGATTGCAACTATTTCTTTTTAGGATATAGATTAATTTTAACAAAATTATTTTTAAAGAAAAAGAAAATAAAGATAAAAATGATTCGCATATACAATCAATTGAGTAGTCAATAATCGTTTTACTTATGTGCATTGAATCCGTAATAAATCACGTATGAAATTATTCGGTACAATTACTAATTGTTCATATTGTATCCTTCATGTATTAAGATTGGGGAAATGTATGCTTTTATAACATAGAAATTGAAGAGCATAATAAAGATGAATATCAATTAGATTGAGTCTAATCAAATTTCAATATTTAATAATTGAAGAAATTTGCTTGTCATTAATTAATTTAATTTCACGTTTATTTTCTTGTCGTGTCAAAATTATCTAGTGTAAAATATTTGAATATGGGAAACGTTCGAGCAATCCATTCAAAGAAATCATGTTCAAATAAATATGTATCGTACAATTGTAAATTGGAAAACAAACCGAAAATATTTAGTACGAAAACAATTAGAATCATACGCAATATGAGTCATTTTCAGCTCTTGTAGATTACATATGGCAATCATCAAGTCAATTTAGATTACATATGGCAATCACCAAGTCAATTTGAGAAATAATATACATAAAAATTAACTGAAGAATATTTTCAATCAGTAAGTGTGTTTTGAATATCATTAGCTGATAACAATTGGTTTGTATTAGAAGTGGAAATTGTTGTGCAAATATGAAATGTAAATGAATTTAACTTTGGCATATGAATAGGAACTTGTTTATCAAAGTGAACATCATCAATGAATCTCTTTCATTCTATATTAAGATATAAAGTAACATCTTTCAAGTTTATCATACGACGAAGAAGTGGCACAATGTGACAATTATAAGCATTTGTAAGTGAATAACTGGTCAAAGAAAATTCTCTTAGATTTGGTAAAACATTCTACAAAAACATTCATCATTAAAACAACATATTAACAATTTTAAAATCAGATAAAATGAATTTTTAGGTTAAGTTTATACTCAACATATCGACAGTGAGTAATGATGTTCTGTGAATAGAATTAATATTTACAGCAAATGAAGATAATTGATTGAGACAACCATCAAGTAAACAAAGGCGATCATCAAAAGTTGTCACATTAACAAAAAAAAATCCTAATGGTTAAGAGAAGCAAATATTTAAAGGTTGATCATATAAGATGAATTGTGTATGTTTACTATTACTTAATCGATTCGAATCAAAAGAAAAATAACTGTTTACATACAGAAAAAAGACGTACACATCCATCTGTGAATAATATATTCGACGATTCCAATTCACTGCTTAAAATAGAAATGTTTACGATCTATTCTTGAAATTACCGAGCAATCTACCATTCTTCTAAAAAAAATTCACATTGTGCAATTGACTGATGCTGGAAAACTGATACCATCATAGGATGATGATTAAAGACTGCTATATACTTCTTAAATATTTATAAATATTGTACAGTGAAAAATTTATTATGCTGATCATACAAATATAATAATAAGTAGAATTTCATCAAGCAAGTGAACAACCTTATGTTTCATATTAAATAAATGTCGACTCGACTGAGATTTTCTCCTTTGATATTTAGTTATTTATCCAACATCTACTGCCGTCAACAACGCGAACAGTGTATTGTTCGGTATTCTCCAGGAAGCGAACATATGCAATATGATGAAAATTTCCACCTATTGGTCATGCAGTCAACTGAACTGTGAACGAATAAGTTATCTTTTTTTCTATTTTCTCTCTTATAAAATTTGAGACAGTCATTTTATGTGACGTAACCTTTTTTAGAGTGTAATGCACGATATCAATATTAATGTACGTTAGACGATAAAAAGCGATAAGAAGTGCACCAACAAATATAAGAAGAGCAAAATATAGAATAATGTGTAGAGTATTATTATTGTTAATAAAAGCAACGCCTTTCTACTGCTTCATCAGTACCAGAGTACGACAATTTCGTGTACGAAAATGGAAAATAAACAGGTTAACAGTACTAAATAAGTTAAAAACTGCCAATTCCGAGTGTGGGTATTCTCTAAATCAATACTCACACCCACACTTTTAATATCGCTTGCTCTGTATGTAGATTTAGCTCCATATTTACTGAGTAAACCAAATGTAAGTAGATGTTGGCTGGCTCTTTGTGTATCCATTTCTCTTTTCTCTTGTATCCTTCTTTCTTTGGTTCTCTATCTATTCTATATGCTGCTCATCTGTCGTTGTCATGTTTTTTTTTGTTCTGTGAGTACGTTTTCTTCTATCGGTCAGATAAGCACTTGAGTGTTATAAGATAAAAAAGAAAGACGCAATACGCCAATTGTGACTGTGTGAAACTGCTCAGAAAACTGTTTACCTGTGATAGCATTGATTTTAAAGGAATAGCATATGCACGTCAATTGTTTTCAGATGAATGTGTCTGTCCCTCTTCCTCATTCCAAATATCAAGCATTATCATTATCACCTGTAACTATTGATGATGCTTCTGAAATGGTTGTTCTTCTCAATGATGAAGAGACTGTCAAATATCTTATTGGTCCTCCATATCCAGTATCGATCGAACAAATCAAAGATTACATATCTTCTCGTCCTTCAATTAATGGTTATTGTCTAGCATGGGCGATTCGTCATAATGGAAGACTAATTGGTGAGGTAGGCCTAGAGTTTAAACAAGCTCCTCAAACGTACGAATTGGGATATTATTTATCTCGGCATTATTGGAACAATGGTATTACCAGTTTGGCGACCAAGACTTATTTGAACGTGATGATGAAGCGAATTACTATCGGAGAGGATATCACAATTATAGCAGGATATATTATTGACAACTTTGCGAGTGGAAAGATTTTGAAAAAATGTGAATTTATAGAAGTGGGACATGAAGAGAAGATGAAGAATGGACATAAATTACAAGGTGTCAAAATGATGCGTATCATCACAGAAAAAGAGCAAATGGTTGATCTTGACAGTTCAAGCTATTAGAGGTCTTATGGTTTCATGACTACTATATTGTAACCTTCAATCAACGTTGATTATAGACATAGGCTTTCTCTATTTTGTACCCTATACGAAAATTTTGGCAGAAAACGAGATTAAAATAACTTTTTCGCAAAACATCTGACGAAACTTATTTTTTTGTCCTGAACTCAGATTAAACTTCCAAATAAAAAGTCAAAGGAAAAATGAATGAACTCAGATCAAATCGATCGATCAATTCTTCCATAAACCATTCGAATGTTGAATGAGTTTCGGAAGATCTGACCTTCCATGAAATCAAAAGAGAAATTGATCTGTCTTTGGAAAATACGAAACGATTGATATTGAAAATGCCAAATTATTTTTCGAGAAAGAAACATTTTCACATGGGTGACAGAAGCTTTCTTCGTTTGATGTGCGTGTACGACATTCAGCTACGAAAGCGTTGAAAAATTCGACGCATGAGCTTGATAAGCAAAACAAAGAAATAAGAATGGAGACACAAAAAACCATTATTCTTTTTCATTGAATTCCAATAAATTATGAAGATAGCTAACAGTGTATGTAAAAGCTTGATATCTTGGAAGGAACAGGATCAGTCGTAGTTCTCACGCGGTAACAAGTTACAAATGCTCAAGATGTTGTTTGGAAATCATATAATCAGAGAAGGATAACAGGATGAATTTCAGTAGAGCACTGGTTTTCAATGTATAGCGGTACAACAATCACCAAGAAAAGCAAAAAGAGAACCAAGATAGTCGAAAAAATGACCATATTATTTACAAAAAGTGAGACAGTATGGGTGTGTATAACTTGTGTTTATGTCCACACCCACACTCTCGAATAGCAGGATGTATTTTGTTTTATTCCATTCTGAACTAGTTCAGTTCAAAATAATAATCTGGACTAGGCTGTTTTGGATAGTTGACATTAGAATATCGATTTGTTTTAGCTCGAATCGAGATTCTAATTTCAACTAGTTGACTTCGAGATTGTTCCAATTCGTACTAGTAGAGATTGGAATCTCGATTTATCCTAGTTTATATCAGAATTCCAATGTGAAGTAGGACAATTCTAAATTGAGCTGGATTCTAACCTGTCATACGATATATATATATATATCCTGACCCCACAAAAAAAAACAGACATATGATTAGAGATTAAATGAACTTATGATCATTGAAATTACTATTGTGCTTCATCATGGAGATTGTAACAAATGTTCAGAAATGAAAAATCCATAAATCTATTCCTTATCGACACTTTAAATTTATGTGGGAATTTTAAACTATCACCATAATAGGCAACTACAGAGAAGAACTAAGCCAAACCGAACAACACTTTGTTTGAATATTGCTCGGCAAACTTTCTCGCTCAATGCGCTAGAAAATTTTTCTCGCGGAAAGACGAACGATCAATATTATTATTCGCAGCAAATGCTATATGAACAACCTGAACTTGAGTAGTGATACTCGAAGCATTGCGAGAGTAATGGCAATCACATCCGTGTCGATCTCGATTTTCATTGAGTAGCGAACAATCAGAAAGTACAAAGAGGATGAATTTTCGAATAAACATAATGTTTTTTTTCTAAAACTACCATATCAATCGTCGTATTTCACTTTATTTGATTGTTTGTTAGATAAGAATCGTGTTTGTGATTTCTTGTCAGGGCTGTCTCGAAGAGGTCAGGATTGGAAAGGAAGATATCGACCAATTGCAACGATCTAATTAGTATGAAGCAATCCATCAATTGTTTGCTATTTGTAAGAAACAACTGGAAATATTCGAAGAGTTATCAATGTTTGAACAAATTCTATGCCGCATATTGCCGAAATCCTTCGATTCCATCATAACTCAAAAAAATACACTAATGTTCACTTCAAATACAAACAAAAGTTTTATTACAAGAAATGTTTTAATTGTTTTCTTTATATTGTCATATAACATTAAGACCATGATAAAGAGAATCATTATCACTATAAACAGTATCATCATAAATAAAAAAAAGAGCATCATCAAGAAAAAGAGTATAAATGTGATTCAGAAAATGGAGATTCAAAATTTACTAAAACAGTACATCGTTGTCAAAGTGTAATAAAATAATTTATGAGAACTAGACGCGCTGATAGATAGGCGATACTCGACCAAATTATCTTTTTTCTATCTAGAAATGAATCTGTTGTATTGCCATTCGAGGAACAAGAGAAAACGGTTGCTATTTACCTTTATTCAAGACTGTTCTACATATTTTATCTGGAAAAGTGATCATTTAAAAGCTGAAAAATTTTTGATTGCGAAACAGTAACTTGACATTATATAATTTTCGATCTAATTGTAGCGTCTTGAATGTAAAATAGACTACAAAATTGAGTATCACTGTGTAAAAAAGAATGATTTGCTAATGAACTTACCGTTTACTTGTTGTTGGCACTCTTTATACCTGATGTAAAACAGGTTTCTCTTTAATATAAATCAGAGTATCCCGTGCAATTTGATTACTTTGGTCCGTATGCAGCTCAATTTCAGGTACTTGACTTAGTCGTCTCAAATCTTGTTTGAGTTGATGAACTGTTTACTCGAGTTGCTCTAGGCCACGCTCGATAAAATATTCGGTTTCTTTTAGTTAATCAGCTCCTGAGAAAATTTCTCGAATTGAGCTTTTATTTTCATTTTTTTGAGTTCAGTAATTTGATGACTTATTGTCGAGCTTGGTTAGCAATCTGTTCCATTTGTTCAATGGTCGCTTTCTGCTATTCGTTGATTTGTTTGAGCAAAGGACTATTAGAATCCTTATGTTCAGTTGCTTTTTCATTTTATCTTCAAGATCATTGTAATCTCCAATGAATCCATCTAATACATTAGTCATCTTTTCTCGATGATGTTGATCATTTTTCTTGTAAAAATATGTCTCGCATTCAATCCAAAAGTAAGCTCCTATTCCCTGCTCGCATTTGGAAAAGTTTTTTTTTTATGTGACCATTTCTATAAAGATAATACAGGAAAGATTTTCTTTGCAAAATATCTTGAAAAAAGAATAGAATAAGAGATTAAAGTACTACTAATGAAAATGTTGATCTAGAAAAATAGTTTATGCCAAAAAGTTTGCATTGCCATATTTATCGATGTTTGTAACCTTGTTCAATAGCTTCCGTAAGAATTTTTCACCTAATAATATCTCTACATAGGAGATTCGATTATAGGCTTTAAAAAGATCCTGAAAATGAACTATCCTATAGAGCTTTGACATGTTTTCTAAGCTACAGCGATGTGTACTTCTTACGATCCAAAATCTCGTAGTTTTTGCTCCGACTATATCTGTGTAAGCACTTCTCAAAGCTTAATGGTTTCCTCTCTCTGTTTATCGATGGAACAAGAAAAAAAAGCGGTGCCGCTTGTATTCTGTTTCTTACTACAAAACTGAAAAGAAAAATATGTGAGTGATAGCAATTTGATGATGAGAATAAGTAGAACCCACAATTTTTTCGTCTAACAGACATTGTGAAATAGTTATATGATAGTCAAAAGTAACGAGAAAATGATTGTACAATACTTCGGATCCCATATCTCTGCTTCTCGAATTTAATAGTTTGACTATCGACATCAGAGAGAAAAAAAGCTCTTTAAAAAATCCTTATAGATATTTACTTCTGATCCAATTTTACAGATATAGACGAAACTCTCTGTG